TTTTAAACTTCTCTAGGTAAGCTTCTCTATCCCCAAACAGAATTCTTATACACTTTTTCTGTGTTTTAAAGAGAGGTTCAAGTCGATTATTGCTAATACCACCCCACACAGATATTCCAAATCCTAAATGTGATTCAATTAGAGTATGATATAAATCCTTATAATACTGCTTTGGGACAATGTGTCGTATTCTGCACAGCTTTCCTACTTCCCATTTAAGTTTTGAGTTAAGTGACTGCGTATGTGATTTCCAGTGTTGGTCGTCAATAATAACGCCTAGAAATTTAGCTTCTTGAACTCTTTTAATAACTACATTATTTAAAGTTAGTACGTTCTCGTCATTTTCTACTTCCTCTTTGGCCCGTGAGGGTTTAAAATGAATAAAACAACATTTCTTAAGGGGGCCGGGGGGGGGGGGGGTCTTCATCAAAATTCTCTCGAAATTGATTTTATAGTTGTTTCTGATAGAGGGGAGTGATATCTATCAGCTGCTTTTGGTCCCATGGAAAAATATTGTTCCTAGCCAAAATTATCGCCAGTCAAAGGTCAGCGCTTATGTGTAATTGTATTGCGCGAGCGATTTTCAATCGCGCGCCCTGAAAATCGAGTCTAAAAATCTATCTTCTCCTACATTTTTTGAGCAATCACCCTGAAACTTTCAGGATATGTTCTATGGATCATTTAGAAGATATCTGTCGTTAATATCACCCGTTAATTAATTAGCTCATACAATCGCATTTGGTGGTGATATAAGTACATACATATCAAGCTGTATTCCACCATAATGACTCTACCACCTATGTATTTAACCTAATATTTAGTGTATTACAGGTAGAAATTGACTTAGGTAGGTATTTTTCTCTTAGGTAGATATTAAGAATTTGGTTAATTTCTTAATTGTATGACTATTTCCATTACTGAGATATTTTTAATATTTAATTTAGGAGGGTTTTTGAAATTTTTATAGGACTGGTTCACAGAGTGAACAGATTCCAGATTTATATATTTTTAAACTGATATTTAATAAATGATTAAATGAACAAATTTTAAATTTGCCATTAGATCCAGAAATACACCCATTATGCTCACTTAAAAACAACTCTAAATCAGTAGGCTGTCACTCTATTAATGCACCACACCGCTACCTCCACTGCACTAATAGTTATACAATAAATTCTACAATCCTAATTTTGTATCGTGATGGAGACCGGTGTTCATACAAAACATTTACTAGGTTGCCGTTTGGTGTGAGCAATAGCGAACAGCACGCACACTCCTTTGCCCCGTCAACCTATATCTAATCTATTTAAAGAGTGACAACCATACTGCACATTGAATTAGGATTCCGTTAAATATCAAATTGATTTATTGTAAACTTGTTTAATCTGTAATAAATGGCATAAAATTGAAATTTTTGTTTAACTGAAATTTTTGTTTAACTGATTGTATAACTTTTAGTGCAGTGGAGGTAGCGGTGTGGTGCATTAATAGAGTGACAGCCTACTGATTTAGAGTTGTTTTTAAATGAGCATAATGCAGTGGTGTAACTGGTTGGACAATCAAAGATTTTGACTGCAACAATATTGTCTTCGAAAGATCACTACTTGCTGGTCACACACATGTCAGCGAAATTCCCCTAGTCTAGTGTTTTCCAAGTCTTGTTCTGTGAGTAAAGTATGTGTGAGAAAGTTAATAAAATAAAATGAATGTATATTTTTGAATTTTTAACATTTAATTTGATAATGCAGTATAAAGAAATTTTTAATTAGCACTATAGTTTAAGATATTTATATTAGCTTATTATAACCATTGATACAACGACCATAATTTTTCAACAGCTCTCCAATATCCATCTTAAAGTTGCATCTTATATCCTCAAACTACACAATTTAAACTTAGGCATATATATAGTGTAGACTTCCTGTCACAACAAGACTGTAACCCATAGTAACAAACACAAACAGAACCCCTAACGTCTGCTAACAATTTTCTTCTGATCCTCATATGAGCCCTGTCTCTAAAAACTCAACTGAACTAGCGTTTTGGTGTGTGCAAAAGCTTTCAGGCACGCACATTCCCTGCCCCGTTAGTTGCCTGTCCCTTCAAAATCAAACTAACAGTCAAGGACAAAAAGTCATACACCAAATGAGCATTATATTTTTATAAATTGTTTTACATCTCTTTACTCTGTAAAATGTGCTAAAAATTAAATTTCTTGTTTCATTGAAATTTCTTGTTTCATTGTAACGTTGCCTGTTGGCCCCCCCGCCGAAAAAGCGCCCCCCTGTTGGCACCCCCTCCCCTTTTGGTGCCCCTCCCTAAAATTGAACAAATTAGGTGATTTTAGAGGATACGCCGGTAAAATCTCTAAAAAAGTGTGTATCTAGAGCAAAACGCGCAGTTTTGCTAGTACTTTGTTAAGTTTTCGAAATTGTCCCACATTCAAACGACGATTTGGCGCCCCGCACAGCGGGGTCAGCGGGGCCCTTTGTTACGCCACTGGCATAATGGGTATATTTTTTGACTTAAAGGCTTTAGTATATTAGGTTTTAAGGGGGCATACACCAAAACAGTGCCGTCCAGACATCTGGAAAGCCAAAAAATCACATTTTCTCCTATAACTTCAAAGGGAAGCATTTTAGGGTGTTTTGTGGTTCATAACTCATATATAAATGTGCTAGTTGCGGTTATTTTGCACCCTTCAAAAAGTCACTAGCACATTCCTATCAAAATTTTAGAAAAATCGGTATATATTAAAAACGAAAAATGTGCCTAAATTTGTTGTTTGGCTTTGAGGTCCAATAGATCTGAAGGGGAATGAGTAAAAACATTTTTGAGGGCATCAAAAACTGCGCCAGAATTCAGAGAACAATTTGATGTCAAGCATCAAATCAATCCGATCTTCCCTGACTGACTTTTTGTTAAAATAAGCCTGAAAAGGACAATTTTAGCTTTTTGACTTTAAAAATTCATAACACACCAGCCTTTTTAGATACGATATCAAGATTTTACACACACATTGAAATAGATGTGAATAAAGGGCGAGAAAAATTTCAACCCGATACCGCAAGAAATGATTAACTTATAGCGTCTCAACCACAAAATAATTTTTTCCGAAAATTGCACTCTTAACCAGGAAATGGTCGATTACAAAAATGGGAATTCTCAAAATGATTTTTTTGTGTGGAAACGGTGCGCTAAAAGGTCACTGAACTGCCTATGAGGTCATTAGGTCTGGACAGATTTGGGGTTTGCTCCCCTGGTGGAGTCAGCACACATTTACCAAAATCAAAATTGTTTAATAGGAGGAGCATGTGGGCCGAGATCACTGGATTAAATTTGATGAAGGGGATTGTTTTCAAATGACAGCTGCACAATAAATTCTACAATCCTAATTTTGTATCGTGATGGAGACCGGTGTCCATACAAAACATTTACTAGGTTGCCATTTGGTGTGAGCAATAGCGAACAGCACGCACACTCCTTTGCCCCGTCAACCTATATCTAATCTATTGAAAGAGTGACAACCATACTACACATTGAATTAGGATTCCTTTAAATATCAAATTGATTTATTGTAAACTTGTTTACTCTGTATTAAATGGCATAAAATTGAATTTTTGTTTAACTGAATTTTAATTTTTTGTTTAACTGATAATACGACACAATATGTGCAAGGCCCCTAATGTGATATAAAAGATGCTTTACAGGTTATTTGAAATGCTATAGATACTGTAGAACCAGATCATGCGAACCTCTATACCTGGTCTTTTCTATACCAAGCACTTTTCATTTCCCCAAAAGACCTAGTACAGAAAGGTTTCACTATACTCTCAAAAAATGGAAATTTGTATGATGAAAGAGGGTACCACAATTAATTTGAGGGTGGTTTGAGGGTGTTTTTAAGGAATTAAACATAGCAGGGCTTCAGCCACACCCCATGGTTTGCCTCTGTGAATACAGTTAATGTGCAATGTATATTGATGATAAAAATGTATTAAAATAACTGACTTCAATGGGCATTTCAATGTAAAATATTAATATTCTCCAACACACTATTAGCTATATTAAGATCATTTATAATAATAAAATAATAATAAAATTTGGTAGCTTAAACACAAACTCTAAGCCCAGTGGATAAACCACAAAACTTATGCTCTATTGTGTGAAACAAAGATACTAGATCAAGATAACTATCAAGGAGTGTATGCATAGGACATAAAAAGTTTTGGAACGAAGATGACATGCTTATGAAGCGAGCTAAGAGTCTAATTGCTAATAAGTTCAAAAAGATCATGACATTAGGTTGCATCCTAAACAGTTTAAGCAAATAGTACATAAAGTTATATTGTCAATTAATCGCTCATGCCATAACTTTTCTTAAACAGGTGAGTTTTTAATAATGTTTTGAACAGATCAACATCAGAACAAGTCTTAATTTCAATTGGTAGTTGGTTCCAGATTTTCGGAGCAACAGTCTGAAACGCTCTTGGGTGCGATCTTGTAGATCCGACAGGTAGGTGTAAGGAGGAAGTTCTTCTGCTACTCGAACTAACAAATGTTACTAGATCACACAGATATGCAGGAGCAACACCATTGACTGCTTTGAAAATCAGTAAACATAACTTAAACTCAATCCTTTCCTTCACCTTGAGCCAATGAAGGGATTTGAGCTTCTCCTCGACTGAGTCCCTCTTCTTTAATCCAAAAACCAGACGGCATGCTCGGTTCTGAATGTTCTGCAGCTGCGTAATTGAGGCTTGACTACTATGATCATTTTTCATGATAGAATCACAACTTTATGATGCAATAAAATATTATTCCATATTTGAATATGAATCAAGCAATGTTCAGATGATGTTTTCACTTCTTTTTTATGACTTTTGGAGTGCATTTTCTTACTCACATGCACATCTCATTATATTTTCGATTTCATTAAACAAAACCATACCATCAAGACCCGTTAAGACAGATATGTCAATTATAAACTCTTAATTTTCTAACTTTAGATGGCAGAATACCTGGACAACACCGGAGTCAATGGACTCGCTAATATTGGCAACACTTGCTACATGAACTGCATTCTTCAATGCCTTGCTCACTGCCGAGGACTGAGGGACTTGTTTCTTCTGGGGCAGTTTAAACAACAAATCAATAGATTGAATCCCATTGGAACTGGCGGAAAAACTGCAGAGGTAAGCTATCATAGCTCTACACCGTTTTATCTTCTTTTGTATCTATATTGTTAAACAGTGGGGGGGGGGGGGGAAGGGGCAGATTAAAGTCAGTACATTTACATTGGGTCTTATAACGTAGCCATGTTTCATATTTGAGACATGTAAGTGTAACTCTGTATATCAATGAAACAAGAAATTTGAACATGCTAGAAATCCCTTTTTTACATATCGCTTTAAGTCATTAAATGTAAGATAGGATCTGAAAAGATGATGTGAAACAGATTCTAAAGTTCTAAATGACTAATTAATCGAACAATTTGTTTATCTCATTGAAAAAACAGTTTTGGTTATCATACATGATAGTGTACTACGACAATTGGGCTTTGATCTACACGGCTTTGATCTATACGATTCCCATAGTGCGGATCTAGTGTCAACCTAATTCACCTTAATGAAATAACTTTTCATGCTTGATATCTTGGACATCTGAGTAGCTGAGATCCCATTTTTTCAGGACAAGTGTATCTTAAAAGGCCTTGAACACAATCCATTACAAATACAATTGATGCAATCATACAAAATATCTAAAGACGGCAAAAATTAATGTTTATTTGGAAAAAATGTACATCACTATTTTTTGATTTGATATATTCCTCGAATGAGTAATAATAGCAAGTCATACCAGAAAGAATTATTTCAATTGGCACTCCGTGACTGAGAAATAAGCTGGAGCCCCAACGTATGTATACTGACTTTTGCCCCCCCCCCACCTAGCCTCCCCCCTGTACAATTTGTATTCCCCGGCCCGAAAAATTTGAAAGCAAATGAAAATTTGGCTAACTTGCACTACTCAAAACATCTTACATAAACTTATTTTTCAATAATAATTTGCTATCAATTCAGGTTTACCACACTCTCCTGCAAGACATGTGGTCTTCCAGAAGAGGGACTACTAATCCCCAGCAGCTCAAGTCTATTCTTGCCAACAAGTCTGATTTGTATTCGGGGTTCCAGCAGCAAGATGCCCAGGAGTTTTTATCTATTTTGCTCGACACACTACATGAAGATCTGAACCAAGGTGATATCAAAAAAACTTTTATCATGCCTGATGGTGATGGAAAATGTGATGAAGATGTTGCCAAGGAATCCTGGGCTTTTCATAAGCAGCGAAATGAGTCTTTCTTTGTTGAAAACTTTATGGGTCAATATAAATCCAAGGTCTCGTGTTTGGAGTGTGGCAAAGTGTCGATAACATTTGATCCCTACATGTACCTCTCACTACCAATTGCTAAAGATAAATCTCCAGTTGAATATTATTTTCTTTCTCAAGCCTCTCCTGCAGTGGCTAGATGCAAGGTCTATGCTCATCTCCCCGTTGGTGCTAATATTTTATTGAAAAAAATATCTGAGGATATTAAAGTGGATTGTGACAAGCTTACCCTTTTCACTGTGTCCAAAAGCACCATCGTTGGTGTTTTTTCTGCAACCGATATAGTGAGCAATGAAAATCTAAATCAAGGTCAGTTGATAGTCAGAGAAAACAAAAACTCTGCTGAGAACTCCATTCTGATTAAAGTTGTCAGTGCTGTTTCTGAACCGTTTGTGCAGAAATCATGTGCCTGTTGCGGAACAACTGGAGACTTGAAGAGGTGCCTTCGGTGCAGGAAAGTGAGCTATTGTAATCAGGAATGCCAGAAAAAGCATTACAAAAACCACAAGTCTGACTGCAAAGCTCTTCTTCAAACTGTCGGAATTCCTCAAGTACTCTACATAAAGCAAAAAGATTTAAAGCTTGACAAGCTGCAGAGTTTTCTATCATCTGCGAACATTCATTTGAACTTTGTTCAAGCTAAAAAGGTCAAACCACGCTGTGAGCTAAGATTGGGAAATAATACAGGGGCGAATTATGATAGTACAGCATTGACTTCAAACACTAAACCCTCTGAATTAGCCAATGCTATCAAGCAGGAATTAACCTTTGTTTTAGTATACGACAACTCCTCAAAGAATCTTCTTGGTCAGCAAGATTTCGATATCTTTGACCACGACAGTTTTCGTTTTCACCAGCCTAAAAGCTCTCTCGGAGATTGTTTTGAAGCTTTCACACAAGAAGAATGTCTCCCCGATTCCGAACTATGGAAATGTCCTCGTTGCAATAAATTGCAGAGGGCGACCAAACAAATATCCCTTTACAGTTGTCCTAACTACTTGACCGTCCATTTGAAACGCTTCCAAGCAAAAAATATCATAGTATTTGATAAGATTGATAAACTAATCTCATTCCCTGCCAACAACCTTGACCTCCTAGAATACTCAGTCAGAAGAAGCAATGTCCCTCAAGGGTATTACGTTTACGATTTGTACGGAGTGGCGAACCACTACGGGAGTCTGTACAGAGGTCACTACACTGCCTACGCTAGGCTGTCAGGTGCTAACAGCACATGGAGGGAGTTTGACGACCGCTCTGTGACTGATGTTAATGAGAACTCTGTGCAGTCTTCAGCTGCATACGTTCTGTTCTACAAGAGACGACGTTTCACTGAGTCGATATCAAGAGGCATTCTCTCAAGTGATGAGGATGAAGAAGAGTTTTTTGATGCGTGCACTGGAGATGGTCGCAAGGAAACCTCTGACCATTCTGATGACAACAGCTGTTACTTTGAAGCGAAGGTACCTGAGAGGGAAGAAATTCCTGGGTTTGCTAACGATATTAATATTTCAACTCCTACCTCCAATAAAACGACGAGCCACGACTCCTCGGAGAACATGGAACTAGATGAGGTAGATAGCCAGAAAACCGCTGAAGGGAGCAGCTCATCTGATGTGTCATGTGACTACGTGAAAGTTGGTAGCAGTGATCTTCCTGACAGCAAGCTGACAGAAGACGATTGCAGTGACCGTATAAGTCCCATTGAAGACGAGGAAATTCTCAACCCTGTATCCTTGGACACAATCCAGATTCACTTTGAGGATGAGCTTGACTAACTAAATGAACTGTTTTCGCTTGATCCCCGATCCAGTAGAACTTTTCGGATTGAACTTTTCTAATCTCTTTGGATTACATATTATATAATATATCACTTGAGACTTGTTTGCGAAAGCAATCGGTTTACCAGACTTAAACTGGCTGTTTTTTCACAGTACTATTTGTCTTAACTCATGATAAAGAGTGTATAATAGCCAAAAAAATGAAGCTCTGTGAACGAAATTGTGAAACTTAAATTAAGTCTGAATCACAAATATTATGTTATATCGAGGGATTGATACCTTTCTAGAAAACTTCGTTGCTCCATAGTAGTGATGCTCTGGAGCATACCTTTTAGAATAAAGGGTTACATTTTATCAGGTGAAGTTCTTATTACTTGCATTTCTTATTACACAGTAAACCCTGATTTACCTCCCCCGTTTCTTCTCCCCAAACTCGACTCCGAGGTGAATCAGGATTTTACTGTATCCTGTAATAGTGTAAACTCTTATTAGAGGGTTTTCAGTAGTATTTGTGTGATATTTGTGTTAAAGTGGAGGAAGTGAAATAGGAAAGCTCAAAAACAAATCAGGTTGTTATCATCAAAACTATGTGTTAAAACTCTAAGAAACTATTTAACTATTTAAGAGCTTTGTCTTCGGTTGTTTAAAATTCTTGTCTTAAGATTGTATCTTTAGTTTTCAATATATTTGTATAACGTTGGATATATGATATATATTTGATTTTACTAACTTACCGAGTTTCATTGTTATCTACAATTAACCATCTATTAAAAGTTTCAGTATCAAGATTAGCTTCTTAATTCGTAGAATGTTCTGATTAAAACAATTCTCTGGAAAACATTTAATGACTACAAAATACATTCATTATTCATAACAATAAAGAACTAAAATTGTATATTGTTTTAGGAGGTACATGCAATCATTTCAAGGGATAGATGCTAGCTATGAGGGAGGTGCTGGGGACTCCTCTACAGAGCGCCTTATCATGCAGGTAGTGTATGTTAATATAAGTATTAATACTTATTAACTTAATAAGTATTAATGAATAATAAGTTTATAAGTTTATTAGGAATATCTTATATCTTTTATCTCTGTGCTAGCTTACTTTTGACTGCCTTGTTGATATGCTGATATTCTTTTAAAATCTTCAGATTTCTTCTAAGCTTGTTGCAAGTGTGAGCAAGTAATGTACATATTATGTACTGTGTTATCATGTTATTATGTAATGGTTATGTTGAAATATTTTACACTTTATTTTGGAGCCAATGATCAATGGTGTAATTTCTCCGACCGTGATTACGAAATTCCAGTGCGATTAAATTAGAGTAATATTTAAATCATTGTTTCGAATTAAGTTTAACTGTGTACAATATTTGGTTTAAGAACTGTTTAGCGCCTAGCTACGAATAGGAACGATATACAATTGAAACACAAAGGCTACGAACTTAAAGTTTTACGAATTATCAAATTTAAAGTTCATCGGGGTAACATTTCGTGAAACTTCAAGTTCGTGGTTTTTGCGTTTCATTTGGTACTTTAAGCGAGTATGATAAAGTGGTAGATACATATTCACTTGAAAAAGTAACTTTGAAACTTGCAAATTATCAGTATGTATTTCAGGAGCTTGAGATGAAGAACGGTTTAGAAGCTATGTTGGCTGACCAACGAATCACTGCTGAGAAATACAAAGCTAACTTTAGCTTTCTAGAGGCCCAGCATGTTCAACTTCAGTCAGAGACCCACCAACTTAAAGATGACATAGCTCAGAAAGACTCGCAGATGAAAAACTACGGGAAGAAATACGAGAACCAGATTTGTCAACTGGAAGCTGATAGGGACAGGCTGCTGATGGATGTAGAAGGGATGAAAGCCAAGGTGATGACACCCGCAAAGCTAGAAAATCTTCGACAGAGTTTGTTGAGAGATGTTGAACAGATTTACAAGCAGCATCTTGCTCAAACAGAGGATGAAGTTGAAGCTTACAGGAAGGAACTTAACAAACTCAAATTCGATCACAACTTCCTGAAGACGGAGTATGAGAATTGCCAAAACGAATTTTCTCAAAAATTGGAAGACATCCATGCCAAGTATAAATTAGACATAGACACCTTACAGAGGAAATGTGAGTCTTTGAAGAAGTCATTAGAACAGAAAGGTGTTGCTGCACAGGAATCCATATCTCTGGTAAAAGAGAACACCAAATTGTCGGCGAAAGTTAAATCCCTCATTGCTGAAAATGATTCATACCGGAAACAAATAACTGAAGAGTGTCGGAAAAGTGACGAGAGAGTTGTGAAAGTGTCGACCCAGCTGTCAGAGCTGCATGTAAAGCATGAAATAGTTAACAATGATAACAAGAGTATGATTACGCGAATTGAGAAGCTCCAAGATAAGTTAGAGCAGGCAAACGATGACAAAACCAAGCAAATTCCTCACATTGCAAAACTCGAAGATCAAGTTATGAAGCTTACTTCTGACCTTGAAGATGCAAACCAGAAGCATAAAATGGAATTGTCGATGGCAGAAAATAATTTCAAGCGACAATTAAGTGAGGCAAAAAAGGAAGCTGATGATGTCCAAGCCAAGCACGCTGATACTCGTACTCAAACTGAATTCATGACGAAAACAATAGATCAGTTAAAAACTAATTTGAGGCAAAAAGAAAAAGATTTTTCTGAGAAACTGCAATCGATTAAAGATCAGCAATGGGATAGTGTCAATCGAGCAAGTCAAGAAAAAGCAGCTGCTGAAGCAAAGATAATCGCTGCTGAAAAGCTTCATTCGGATAAGAGTCATAGTTTGAACATAGAGCTCGAGAAAATGAGAAGTAGTAACGAATCTCTCTCAGCTTCAATGCAAGCAGCAACCAAAGAAAAGGATGCTCTGGAAACACAAATAACCAAACTCAAATCCTCCATGGAGTCCAAGGACAAAGATCTTGCCTACTATCAAAAGATTGAAATGGAAATGCAAAACCTCGAGTCACGACTAAAAGGCTCAAACTCGCAGTACAAAGAGGAAGTCATTGAATGTGATAAACTAAAAGCTCAAAACAAGTTAGCCACTGACGAGATAAGCACATTAAGAAACCAAATTCAAGACATGAAGACAGAGTTTGAGAAAGTCTCTCAAACAAAGAAGATGAGTTACGAAAAGGAAACTGAAGTTATAAGTGACAAATACCAGTCTTTAAAAAAGAGGATTAGCAAAGGGGAGAAACGTAGAGAAACAATCTTAAACCTTGCTAAAAAGCAGAAAAGTCAATATCAGAAAGAAATTGATGCCTTAAAGGACTCGGTGATATGCTGCCAAGCCAGAGAAAAACAATACGAGCTTGAAAAGGAGTCCATGCGGAGAAATCACGAGCTTGAGACGAACAAACTGCGGAGAAATATAGAACAATTCAAAGTGAGAGCAACTGAGTTCGAGAGTTTACTTTACAATCCAAACGTTGGAAACTCTGGAAATGCTACCATGCCTCTACCAGATTCATTTTCGACGATAGCAGCTGCAACGAAAGAGCAGCAGCACGAGCTTGCTGAAATTAGCAAGAATTTGAACGATTTTCAGGAGAAGCAAGCTGATTTGGAGAAAGTTGTCTAAGCTTGTCGCATCGATATTAATTTATATTTAATGTTAACTGAATGAATTTATTCTCTAGACATTATAACATGTGACCCAGGACCCTGGGCCATGTTAAATGTGTATATTTTCGGTTTTTGACACGCCTGGGCAGGAGGACCCACGTATATTCTACAATTTGTATCCGTAGTTCACAGAGGTTTGTAGGTTTTTTACTTTGTGTTTTTTGGGCAAGTCCCTTTAGTATAATGTGTGCTGATAGCTGGACTGTGATATTTCATTTGTCAAATTTCACTATTTTATTTTAAATTGGATAGTAAATTTCTATCAGAAGAATCAGATTTGGTTGTGTAAAGGTGCAATGTTCGGGTGTTAAACCATATAAACAATTTTCTGTATATGACGCATTATATATAATTTCATAATTCACTTTGCATGGTACCAAAACGAAAAATCAAGCAAAAAATAACCATCCTTCAATTCTTTTTTAACGGGGCATGCTGTATCTCACTTCTTACAGATTATCAGATTTCACAATGTTGAATATGTTTGATACAACCCGATTGGCAGTTTTTCACATTTTTACGTCAACAATTCATAAAATATTTTGGTACTTTGCAATTCTAATCTTACACGAATTTAAGTTGTTTATCATAATAATATATAATATACCTTATCGGCCCTAATTTCGCTGGCCGAAATTGGTGCTGGACTTTTATGCCACCGGCCTTGATTCATGCCAAAATTTAAAATTACGGTCAAATTTTAAATGTCTCTGATTTCTATTTTGTTGGTTATCTTGTGATTCTAATCAAATTTGTCTCATTGCCCAAATAACTAGATCGCAAAATCTACTTTAAATAACTGACGATTTAAGTTCTGATTACCGCTGGCCTTTATAATTACACTAAACCAAATGCAGATATAGGTGGCTAAAACGTGCAGTCAAATTTGGGTCGAAAAGGTATGAAATGATTTTTAAATTATGTATCATATTTAATTAAGAAAGCATATATCTGTGTATATAAAGTAAAATATCAGCCAAGTTAAAATCAAATAATTATATTTTATTCTGAAGATAGTTTAGACTTGTGCTGTTATTATATAACTGTATCAATATACTTGTACAATTATTATTATCACAACAATTAAACATTGTACATTGTCAAGTTTATGTTTTACGAGATCTTGTGTTGTGCCTTTTACGTAAGATAACCTTTCAAGTCGATCATTGATGGCCAGTATCTCTTACGCTAATTTAAAATAATACCCACCCGTTAAAATCGACACACTGCCGTCACCAACTATTATCACACCAAATAAGTATGTCTCAAAACAAAAGAGCGAAGACAAATGGTGGTCTGGATGACGCACAGCCCAGCACATCAAGCTCCAACACATCCCAGTCCACCCCTGACGCCAGAGCTCTCGCCCGGTCTGAGCAGGTACGTCATAATTAATTCAGGGTGTAGGACAGATTGAGGGTATTCAGTGCTGGTTGTAGGAGTGTAGGGTGTAGGACAGATTAGGTGTAGGGTGTAGGAGTTAGGACAGAGTTCAAACAAAGATGGTGGTTTGATCTGAGGTATCCATGATACAGATCATCATAACATATTCGTGTATCCTAATTCCTAATATATAATGGTGTCCACTACTGTAGCTGTAGTCTGTACTCTAGATCTACTGTACTCTCCTATAATGGGAAAGTTCATATTTGATACAAGAGAAACGCCATTTTCGGGCGTGAGGACAGTTTAGGACTCGGGCGTGAGGACAGTTTAGGACTCCTCCAACTACATTAAATCAATTCCTTCTGTAACGTCCTGAATAAATATAGTTACAGAAGAATATATTACGTAAGCCAGTCTAGGAGGAGGCGGTTTGGGAAAGCTCACGAGTTATTCATATTATACTTCAATATGAAATTAAAATAGTTATGGAATTTTAATTTCAGGCTAAAGCCCAGCTCTCTGCAACAGACGTTAAGAAGTTAGAAGTTGAACTCGCCAGATTCCTTTTATTTGCTGACAAGAAAAACGTACGATATATCAACTGTAATTTGTTGGATTGAGTTCTCTCTCCATCAATACTACTCATTCTTATACTTCCCAAGTATAATTCATATTATTTCATATCATCATTAATCTCCTCGGAGTGGTACATTGGTACAATGATTATCCAACAAGTAAAATATCATACCGTATTATTCTTAATACCTCTTAAATTTTTAAATAACTATCACTTTTAACATGCTTGATTAATAAAACTACCGTGTAATAGTCTAATTATAACAATAATAACATCCGTGTTCAGATCCCGACAAAGAAACAGGACATAGTGAAACATGTCCTAAAAGAACATTCTAGACTCCTTCCATCAGTGCTAGAAGGAGCTAGAAAGTATCTGAAACAGACGTTCGACTATTCGGTGTGCGAGGTGGAGTATAACAAGAACAAGTATTACATCCTGAGAAATAACATAGTTCTCCCCGAACTGCAGCAGTTAACAAGACCGGCTCATGCTCTGTCACAGGTACAAGCTCGCTACTCAGTTAATTAGTTAATTAGTTAACTTACTTAAGGGGAGATACACCAAAAACGTTTTTGGTGTATCTCCCCTTAATCTAGACATTACAGTTAATAACCAGAAACTAATATATTATTAATATAACTAAAAACTAATATAATATAACTAAAACTACAAACCGCAAAGCACAGTTACTATTGCATAGAACCTAGAAACCTGTTAAATACATATATCACGTCAGCAGTATGCTGGAAATTGTAGACCCCTACACGCACCAAGCAGTTCTATTGTGTAGACATTACAGTAGCGTCAGCATTTATGCCACTTTCGAAATACCCCCTAGCCATGAATATTGATGTGTCTGGTCACTTACTTGATCTCCGTATATTTTGCAATACCAGGCGAATAACAGACTCTGTTATAGTCAATAATATAATATTATATATAGTCAATAATACTATGACACTATGCCATAATATATATGTACAGATATAAATAAATAAATTCTAACATTTATTACACGCTTCGACATTAAAAAATACCCAACATAAGATGTACATTTAAGTCATTCAAGCGAGACTTAGTGTTGAAATACCAAGATTATGGATTTTTTTAAACAGTTCAGATTTTATGAACAAATATATAGTATAAATAATATTTAAGTACTACCACTGCATTCTGCATATTTATAATGGTTCACCTTATTGACCCCTTACATATTCCCCCTCAGTTGGCACTGCTTACAATAATACTGAGTATGATACACATGGCAAATAACGCCCTGGATGAAGCGGATTTGTGGGAGACTCTCAAAATACTCGGTATAGACAAGTAAGTCTGGACTACCATTTAAGCTGCTTCATGTATTTGTAGAGTGTGTCGAAAGTTTTGGATTCTTTGTAAGACACTGAATCCTGCAGCGAAAGTGTATAGTGAGATTTGCAGCTGAATTGTCGGAAGGATCGTATATTCTACTGGTAGACATACATTGTCATTTGGACACCGCAAGCAAGATTCTATTAAACTTACACCTCTGACAGTTAACAAGTACTCGTAGCTGAACTAGTTTACAACCAGCTAATAGACTTGTGTTTGCTAACTCCGAGCTATCTACAAATCCAGGTTCGAATTGTAACGCCACAGAGATAAGTCGGCCCGGCTGAGTTCTTATTAGATTGAATGCGGTATTTCGAGTAGCTGATACACTCGAGCGATAACTGCAATGTTTTCCTATTTTGAGCCCAAAGTTTGAAGCTGTGTTCAATTACACTAATGCAAATACTAAATGGATGTATTCATGTGTAAAAAACTTCAGACTAGGTGTTAGTAACACCTCACTGTGGAGATGCCAGCTAAAGACGAGTCTTACATTGAAACCTCATTGAAGCACTAATTCTCCAACAATAAATTCACCGGTGGCTCAATTAAGGCTTTTCCACTCGTATTATTATTGTATGGGATCAATTACTGGAAACCATTATCGCGAACAGGCAGGAAAATTAATTCCCGAGTTGTACTCAGAATGCAATGACCAAGATGCGAAATCCGGATACTCGTGACGTGGGGACAGTGGGAATCGAATATATGTAGTTGAGCATTGGTTAAGAATCGCTAGTATTCTTAGCAGATTAAGTAAAGTTAAATGAATAGCTTATTTAATTTCTAACAGTATGACTAATTATTAGGAGTTAAATGTCAATGATTACTTATTCTAACATGTGAAAAGCTTAACCTCAGTATGTGCAGATACTTTTTCGCAACAGTGCACTATTAACTTTTCATGATAACGATGCTCGAGTTCTATACCTTTTTAGTGTTTGGCAATGAACCAAACGAAGCCAAGAAATGTTGAGTACTCGTTATAGATAATAGATGATACATTTGTGATGAGGCGAGTACATTTGTACATTAGTACATTTCCCAATCATAACACCTTCTTTCTCTCCCAGGTCAGAAACTCACGTAGATTTCGGAGAAGCAGACAAGCTTCTAAACGAGTTTGTTAAGCAGATGTACATTGAGAAGCACAAACTAACCACCTCAAAAGGGCTGGTGACCCAGTTGAGATGGGGAATGAGAGCGTATCACGAGGTGAAGATGTCGGATATCTTGTTGTTTGTAGCTAGTATTTACGATGTGGACGCTAGTGTGTGGAAGAAACAGTTTAGTTCACACGACGGTGCTATGGAAACTCCTAGCTTGTAGTTGCTATGGAAACTCCTAGCTTGTAGTTTTTGTAGTTTCAGTGATAACTTGAAGAGCTTCTAGTCTGAATGGCTCTTTTTAAAATTATTTTCTTAAATTGCAATTTTTGACAATTTTGAAGGAACATTTTTTAGCTGTTACAGCTGAAAAATGTTCCATCAAAATGTTCCATCAAAAACTTCTACAGTAGAAGTTGATAATTTTACTTCCATGCGCATTTTAAAGAAAATCAGTTGTTTTTATTTTTAATTTACAGTAAACTGTAAAGTTTTTATTTTCTCGAGTATCTACGGATTATCGACGAGTCAAACGAGTGTGTGCAAACCTCAGCACCAAATCAAATCAACTTTTAGCTGACGGCAATATAATATTCTCGTTTGAAATTTAGTTAAATTATTGGTTTTCATATTTGCTTTAATTTAAATGTACGCTCATTTGTATTTATTGAGCACGTATTATCATTTTAATGTTATTTTATCTATTTTACTATTCAGCTGTCTTTATTCGCTGATTTCAAATACTATCTACTTATAATAAGAAAAATGTTAAAATTCTTGGCTATACAATAAAGTATCCTTTACACAAAAATGCAGCCAATCATGCTTTTGGTACTAGACCAGAAATATCAAAACTCCCACTTTATACTTAGGATAATTATACAACTTACATAACTAACACCACTTCGACTTACTTTTTAATTTCCAGTCATGTTCCGGCGTGCTATCAGTTGCTGTCGGAGTTACGGATGCCATCACGTGACAAATTATCACGTGACAAACTCTGCTCAAGTTAACAAGCGAAGTTACATCATCAACCAGTGGTCACAGATGGGGTTACACCCCGCTTTAGAACAGAGATTATATGACGTTAACTTTAAACAACCTACCCCCATTCAAGCCAGGGTGCGTTATTGTTAGTTTGTTATTGTTAGTTGTGTAGAAGTTTTGCTGATTCTTGAAGGTACCACTTGGAGTGGCTAGTGTACAAAGTTTAATAGTGAAGATAACAGTTGCTTAATTTCAGAGTATCCCGTATATTCTAGATGGTAGACATACAGTGTGTCATGCTGAGACCGGCACTGGCAAGACGTTCTGTTATCTTATACCTCTGGTTAACAAGCTACTCTGTGAGGGTGACACTAGTTCTACAGACCAGGCTAAGGTTCAGTATCTTGTGTTTGCTCCTACTCCCGAGCTAGGATTACAGATATCCCAGATGTTCGACATGATCCGTCCACCAGAGTAAGTTGCTGTCCAGTTTGTTTGTATTTGTGTCGTTATTTAGTTGTTTATATTGGTGGTTTTTCCGAGATAGCTATAGCATCTGAGACCATTCGTGCATGTTTTTCTCCTATTTCGGACTCCGATACCACGTTTGAAGCTTGTTGTTACCCCGATTACACAATTAAATGTTAAAAATTACTTAAACTGTTGATGATATTAATTAATAAGTGTAAAAACTTCAGACTAGGGAAGATAACACCTCACCTGTGGGAAGGTGTCGAGAAAGGACGGAGCTACATTGACAAAACCTCACCTCTAATCATCACTACATTCTCTAAACTTAGAAATTATAATTACTACCAGGTGAGCCTAATTTACAGGCTATTTATTCCTTATACCTCCTATATATACTTTATTTCGTTCATCATACAAGGGATCCAAATTAGCTGGGAAGCCTATTACGAAAGAGGTATGAGATTAAATTAGATTCCTTAGTTGTATCCTGATTCCTAAGGTTGGTATCTGCCTGTTGGAGTAGATCCGGATACTCGTGACCGGTGGGGACAATGTTGTGAATCTGGAATATAATGGGTCAATGTTGGAGGCTGATTGGTTAAGAAATCGCTTACGTATTACGTTAGCTAGATTAAGGGGAAGAGGTTAAATGGAATAGCTTATTTAATTTCTAAACAGTAGTGACTTAATTAATTAAGGAGGGGGTCTAAAATGGTACAAATCTGGATTACTTAATATCGTAACATGTGAACAAGCTCTAACCTCTGTCATGTGTCAGAATAGCTTTCTTCTCCAACAGTGCACTTACTTAACATTTTCATTGATATACGAATGGCTCTCGAAGTTCTATAACCTTTTTCAGCTGTTTGGGCACGTGCCAACCATAATTCTGGACGAAGCCGATGTTTATCATACTGGTCGATTGAAGAATGTTACATACAGAATCCTTGGAGAATTGGTCGATCCATTCAAGTATTTTAAGGTTTCAAAGCAGCTTCCGAAACCCAAACAACTGGTTTATGTCGCGGCTACTCTCAACAAATTTGGTGAGTTTATTGTGTTAGGTGCTTTGGTAGTAGTGGAACATTAGTAGTGCTAAACTATTTACCTGTTTCCTGCAGTTATTTTCTGCCTGCAGTCTAGAATATGCAATGAAATATGCGGCCGTTACTCCGACAGGTTAAGCCGCATTTTACCCTCCCAACAGTTCGGTAGGGTCTACTGATACACTTTTATTGTGGAATAATTGGCGCGAAATTCACAATTAATGCGGCGCGCGCGCGTATCTAGCGCGTGCATGCTCTACGCGACGACCTTATTTACTCGTGATGGAAGGACCAATCCGATTCAGGGCCGTGAGTGACTCCGTTCAATGCAGTATCCTACTGTTGAGATCGAAGCTTTTTGCGTGTGCGAATGGTTGAAATTACAACATAGGTGTCGGTCAATTCATGTGATTGTGATGCATGCGGACGAAATAAGAAGTATCTATACATGTATACTTTTGAATCGGTCCTTGGGTGCGTAGATCATGCTTGATTTAACAGCTGCATTTATTTCAGAGAAAGAAGGTAGTGGCAACAATCTAAGGCGTTGGTTAGAGTTTCATGAATTGTCACCAGTAATGGCTAAAAGCGAGGGAGTACACGCCACCCCTGAATCTCTTGAAACACACTGGAGGTAAGAATCTGCCCATCATACTTCTATCACAAGAATGTAACACATAAATTAATATATTCTATACTAAGGTTGGGCATCAAATATTTAAATTAATAATACTATCGCCTCAGTAAGCCGCTCGGAAATATTTATAACTTCTATCAGATTGTTTTCACCAGGCGAGTTGAAGACGAGGATTTTACCCGGGATTTGATTGACGTGATAGAAAGTGTATACTGTGAAGAAGAGCTACAATTACAGGACTCCGTTCCAGAGGACTACGTTCAACAAGGAGACTTGGGGGTCAGAGTCAGGATATCTCGATACACATCCCTGAAGATTTGGCTCGTACGTTTCTAGAACCTTCTCTCTGTCCAGCACACTCTTTCTGTTTCGATCCTTTTTAAAAACTTCTTTACCTTCGACTAGAAGTTTGACTACTTCAAGCCTTATTCATCAAACTTTAAACTAATACTTATAGCGGTGGGCACGAAAATGCTAATTTTCCAAATTTTTGAACGGCCCTGTTTTTTAGGTAAAGGGACCTCCAAAATGAAAAAATTACTTGGTTTAGGCGGGTTTAGGGTCAAAAAAGCCCAAAATAAATATTTTTTTAATGGGTAAGTATTACTTACCCATTTTCATTGCAGCAATACAGGAGGAGGTGTTGCACCCTGACCGTAAGGTTCTGATATTCATGAACAGCGCGGAGTCAGTCAATGTGCTGTATAGGAATCTTATAAACTACATGAAACAGTCGCCCTGCAAATCAGTGAGGGACCTCGCCAGGAAGGTGTACCGTCTATCTGGTTCACTCACCAGAGAGGTAATGTATTGAATACTACTGATAAACATAGTTTAATAATATACAGCCATTTTGATAAAAATGTATTATATCGTTAAACCATTATTAAAATTCTAGTGATTTAGTGTAGATCTAGACTGGAACTTAATCTGAAGATGTCCGGATACGTGGCCACTTTAGCTTTGATTACAAGCTTTTTATTATTTTGTCGATCAACACAAAGATGTATATGTGAGTGCTGGTAGCTTAGAAAAGCAATAATAAATTTGTTCGATGATAAAATCACTGAATTTTACAGGAAATTAGTCAAACATTCACCGTTCTATTGAGCTACCTAACTATATATGATCAAAATTTCATTCCTCCTCCTGCGTTGAAGTGTCTGGTAGAAAGTTGGGATGGAATCCCCACTTGTACATACCACACAAGTTGTAACCTCTAGCTACTTTAGCGAACCCTTCCTCTCCCCAGCTCGGTCCCCAGCTGTTCTTCAGCAGTACATAATCCGGAGCATAACCCACAGCAGCCATAGCGTGGTCTACTTGCGGACCACATTTAGGATAGTCAAATATCCCCGTTTTGTAGTAGAAGAAAGGTTCGATGGCGTTGAACTCCACGACGATGGGGCCATCAGCCAGGGCTGCTATCATCTGATCAGCCCCATACCTGTAGGAATAATATCTCTGCTTCACATTAGTTATTCCACTAACTTTACCTTCAGCCAGACATTTAGGGTTTGATCTGCCAATGTATTTGTAGTCAGCCTGTTTACTCAATACCTCCCTCTCGTACACGTACTCGAATGCCTTCAAGCTGTCTCCGCCATCACACCCATCTCTGTAGGGGCTGGCACAGTCCACTATTTCCTGGTCACTGAGAGACTCTTTACCGCTGCCTGCTGCAGCTGCCCGGGTCTCTATCACTGCCACTGCTGCGAAGGCCCAACATGAACCACAACCCCATTGTTCTCGAGAAGGAGTCACGTGACCTTGTTCCCTCCAGTTTACTGACTCTGGCCCTTTGGGGAGGGAGCTAGGATTGCTGGTTTCTACACGGTCGTGAGTCGCATTAAGGCCTTTGTAGCCTGCTCGTTCCGCGGCTGTCATGAGTGTGAATTTGTTTACTGCCGCTTTCCATCTTCCGCCAGATTCTGAGTTTAGAGCTTTGATCTTTTTCACGTTGTGAGAAAACAGCTTAAATCTTTCAACTGTTAGTGGCAGTCCTGCTAAATCTGTCTGATCTATAAATAGATTCGCTAAGTTCTCGGTGGAACCCAGTGCCAAAAAACTCACCAACAAAACCAGCATTGTTATAGATTCTAAAAGATTCAGCAGATTTAGAAGATTTAGCAGGTCAAAATGAATCTATCAGCAAATTATAGTTCTCCGTTTAGAGCCTGGCGCCAGATGTACTTCGCATCTCCTGTAAATTGATTTGTCTATTGTGGCCAGGTTTAAAAATTGATTTGACAGAGATCCATCGAATCATTTAAACTCTGAACCATCCAAACTCTCAAATTTAACAGCATTCGTTCTCCTTCTAATTTCATCTGCAGTATAATTTAGAAGTTTTTCTTTACAGAATTGTTTCAGGAACGAGCAGCTGTGATGAAGAGAATAGGAAGGGGGAGTGTCAGAATTCTAATCGCCTCAGATGTAGCTTCAAGGGGAATAGACATACCTGGTCTTGACGTGGTGAGAACAAGTTTTAACGTTTTGAAAGCAGACTGGGTTTTATTTGGCGATTAAAGCTGAGAGCGTTTAAAGCTGAGAGCGATACTTCAACCAAAAGGATCTCCCCTTTCAGCTAGTCTTTTAAGGCATATTTAGATTGTGAACAGGTGATAAACTAGGTTGTGTATACTGTATTACAGGTGATAAACCACCCTTAAATTAGTTCATGTTATAAACCACACTTAATCCAGGTTATAAACGGTCAGCTGCCCGTTGACTCTACTGGATATCTACACAGAGCAGGACGTACAGCTAGAATGGGTAATGCCGGAGTGGTCCTCAACTTCCTGTCAAACTACGATGTACCGCTGTACAGTGCGATTACTGATGCCATGAAGAAGAAAGTCCCGAACCTTAACGACACAATGAGGGGCCCTCCCAACCACGAGAAGAGATACGAACAATTAGATACAAACGATGTGAACAGGAGAAAACAATCCGTAGACCCATGGCTGCATGACAGACCGTCAACTTTTGTGTCCAAACTTTACCGCAGTGATTTTGAGATTAAGTGAAATGTTCTCTACGCGATATGATTTTCAGCCTGATAAAATTTCATACATCAGAGTGTTTTAGATTTTGATAACCTAGGTTTTTGTTACTGATCAGTGATCGGGGTTACTAATCTGTTTATTTTTAAAGATTTTTGATTAATTTATTTTTAAAAACTTAAATGCTCTTAAAAAATGAAACTAGTTTCTTCGGTGTCCGGTCATTAATTAAAGTAAACTGCACATAACAAAAGTTATCTGTTGTTATATTAAATTCGAGATGATTCCCTATTAAATAAACCTCAGACTATCGCTAGATAAAATTAATTATATCAAATTATTAAAAATATAAAAACGATTAAATATAAATTAAAGCGGATAAGTTTCGTAAAAATGGAAGAATTTCCTCTACCTTTCATGCGAGTAGTCAAATAAAGTACACGGTATAAAATGCGGTACAGATTCTCTGAAGATGAAACAGGGAATAAATAAAAGTAAAAATGAGAGTATAAATTATGAAATCTTAAATAAGCCACGACCCATCTCCTATTTTAGTATAAACTACAGGGTCGGAGGCTAGACCTAAAGTCGGAGGCTAGACCTTCAAGTTCATGCAGGGTTTTTGTTTGGTGGCGTTGTGACATGGATTTCGCTCTTTTTCCTGTTCTGGTTTGTCAGAAGGATTAGGCCACTTTCACGGCTCCTCGTGCATCTTTGCTGGGACCTAATTTGAGGATATGCAGTGGCTTTGAATTGGCTGGATTTGATAACCAACTATCATTAACATAACCTATTAAATCATCATCTAAGAGTCTGGCTGCTACACGGAACGTTTTCTTTATCTAGAGCTGACCCGGATGTTTCCTCAGACTTTACTGGGGACGCTTTTTTCTCCAGACGCTCTGACTTCCGAGACTGGCACTCCAGAGTGGATAGATTTTCTAGTTTACAGGACTCGTCCCCTGAAGTGTGAGGAGATGGTCTCTTTTCTAAACGCTCCGACTTACGAGGTGAAGTGATCGTAACTTGTCTCTTCTCGGGAGTTCCTAGAACTACTTCAGGGCACATAATCCGGACTTCTTTGCGAGGTGTGTCTTTTCTAGGTGTTTCTTTCCTGGGCGTCTCTTTCTTCAAAAGCTTAGGGGTAAACTTTTTTGGAGTTTTTGGCAATTCCTTTCGAGGGGTGTACTTCTTTGGTGTCTTAGGGGCATCTTTTTTGGGAGTTTTTGGTGGCTCTTTCTTAGGAGTTTGACTTCCGAGTTTTGGTGGCTCTTTCTTAGGAGTTTGACTTCCGAGTTTATATTTCTTAGACGAACTGCTTTCTGGGGACTGGTCGTCAGATCTCTTCCTCTTCTCACCTTTCCCTTCGGCACTGAGAAGAATTATAAGTTTTAAAATCCCCCCAAATGATTCATTTAAAGTATTCATTTAAATATGGGAAATCTTCATAATACGCATGTAAAATAGGATCGTCAGTTTGACTCTTAAAGTTACAAGGTCCTTACCCGATTTCAATTTCATCGTCATCAGTAGCTAGGGAAGGAATGGGTCCTGCTAGAGACATGGAGTGTCTTTGTCGGGTCATGATTCCAGGTCTACGACAAGTTATTACATCGTCAAACCAAGCGTGTTCCATGGCATTAGCGGCTGTTATCCGGTCCCGCAGATCAAATCTCATCATGTTCTGAGAGGAGTATCGTTCAGCTATTTTCATGTATAGTTGGTACATTGGCCCTCATATCCAAGTGAATTTGTAAGGTAACACCGCATTGCTTGAACTTACTGTATCATAATGACAGGGTTCCTAGAGGAAATTGTGTCCCTTTTAAATAAACTAACCGTGAAAAGATCAATGCCCAGTTCTGAGACAGAAGGAATGATATCAGACATTTTCTGTGGAGTGTAATTAGGGAACTGGTCGAGGGGTATTATGCACCCTTTTGGAAATCTGTCTTCACTCGGTACGCCGACTACCCTACAATTTTAATGGTGGTCAAAAAAGCACCGATTAAAGTTTTAAGTAAAAACAAATTTCAACATGTTAAAATGGGGAGATAAACTCCTGAGAAATAAGATTTTTGTAAGAGTCTGTTATCGCGGTTAAATTTAGGTAACCTACTTGAATATGTGCTGCAGTTGCTCAATTTCCGTTCTCCCGTTGAACAGTGGACTGAAAGGGTGGATATATTAAATTTATGAAGGGGTATGCAGCAGGGTGGCCCCCGTGTGACGAAATCCAACGAATTAGTCGTCTGTGTCTGACAGAGCAGTTATGTGTGCAATAGTGCAGAGTAGATATAACATTAGTGCTCGCACGACCGCAGTTTAAATTAGTACACCACAATAACGTCATATGGAAGCCAAGAGAAATGGTTGTTAACATGTCTTGGTGTTTGCCGTTCAATGTGTCATCAATATGTTCTACTCCTATTTTTGTCAGCAGTATATTTTTGCATAGCACATGTCTTTGACCATCATCTGGCTGATGCGCTCGCGCGCTTGCAGCGCGTACAATTTTGGATGAAGAAAAGATGATATTTCGTTAGAATTAAATCAGCGCGCGTCACGCGTAGTTGATTAAATTTTTATTCAATTTGCCAGAATGGTAGGGTAGTTCACAAAGGAATTTGCAGAGATTGCGAGGTTTGAGATCACACGGGGCGCTGTGTGTACCTTCTATTAACTAGTTCCGCGAATATGCAGCCCAAACTCCACACGTCCACCTTATTGCTGTAGTCGCAGTTCAGTAGGACTTCAGGTGCTCTGTACCAAAGCGTTATCACCTGCAAATGTTATCTTTCACATTCTGTTATCTGTTATCTGTTATCTTAACAAATTCAGATCCATATTCAATTCTTAAACCGCTAATCTATGGAGATCGACACGAAATTAAGTTATGTTCATGAAAATGCACTCATATCCTGTTGAGAGGTTGGTAGATTGCCTTTCCCTCAACATATAGTCCGACAGTTATTACATATGCTGTACTAACAGACTACTGCTAATTTGGTGGGAGAATAGCAGACAGCAGAGGAGATATATAGTAATCCTAGGTTCAAAGTGACATATAGTTAACTCGAACAATGAGAGTTGCTTGATTAGTTACTGGAGTTTTAAGTAGATGGCAAGCAGACATTTACCTGGTCAAACCTGTACTAGCCCTAAAGGGGGCTAGAAACTAATTCAATCATGAACTTGATTAGAATATATCATTAGATCAATCAATATCTGGATGATTTAAAGTCATTACAATGAGACCGAAACTTTTCTTTTCTACCAAAGTTAATATAATATATGCGTTGAATAATTCAACATCACATTAAACAGCATTGAGCATCAACAAGTTACACTTATTAACAAAAATGTAGGTAAAATATGCAGCACAGGATCTTACCGAGTCTCCAGAATATTATGCTTATTCTTACATAACAATGTAATCTCAACCTTAGCTATATTACAGTATTGATTGTATTAAGCTATCTAACCTCGGGGGTCACTACTTTCTGTATCCAGATGAATTTAGAGAGCCCGAAATCAGCTATCTTGATCACCCCTGCAGTGGAGATAAGAACATTCTGGGGCTTAAGATCTCGGTGAATGATGGAGAGGGAGTGGAGGAACTCAATACCGCACACCAACTGTAGCACTATGTTCTGAAATTACAATTAATTAATTCCCTGATTAGGGTCGCCCCATTTATTATCTACTAACCTGTCACATGACACCAGCCCTGGGAAATCTCTGAAATTGGCTGTGGGAACCGCACATTTGTGACGGAACAAAGCCTTGTGGTGGGTGGTATTCCAGTCACGTGACATAGTATCCTGGTCACGCCTGGTTGAGAGGTAGAAGAACTACCGGGGCGCAACTGTTGGTGGGCCGGGCTGAACTACCAAACTTTCACGTGAAACACAGTGTGTAGACGGGCCACATTTCACAACATTTGTGTGCTCCTGCGTTCACACCTATTGTAATGACCTTCAGGGCGATGCACCATCTACTGAAACAAACTATTCCCTGTCATTACTGTAGTTAATGCCTCCATACAAATGTAAATATTGGACCTCAGAAGTACATGAATAAATTCTGTTCAAGAAAAATACACATAATTAAACATTTCACAGAGCAAATTTAAGTCCACGTGTAAATATTTCGGACGTGCTGATTGGTCTAGAAATGACAGTGACACCTTACTGTGGCTCTGAAGGCTTACTGGTTACAGGACGTTAAGGTGAACTGTATCAATGTACCTTATGGGGTGCTTATGGGACCAAAGTGCGGATGTACAAGAACTTACACACTTTTAGCTAGTTCAAGGAAATGATGATTTATTTAAAACTGCACCTTAGTGTTCATGTTTAACTGTTTAAGTGGTCTAAGCGGAATGCAAACTAGAGCACGTGACTACTAGAGCTAGAGCGCGTGACTACCATAATATGTTGGTTCTAAGGTTCCCTTAGATCACGAATATTTAGACACTTTCTTCAAATATTGAAAAATACTGAGAGAGAAGTGTCCATATACTGTAGAATGTAGATTGTAGAATTAGAATTTACCAATGTACATTGTACATGAACATGAAGTAAGAGGTTTAGCAGCGGGTACACTACTTACTAATTTACAATTTGTTCATGTACACTCAGATATATAAAAGATTCTCTGACGAGAATACAGTGTACACTACACGTGTATTACACTACACGTGTATTACACTACATTTTATTACACTACACGTGTATTACACTACATTTTATTACACTAAACGTGTATTACACTACATTCTATTACACAACATACCTTTATTTCATTGGTAGGCAGGTTAGGTTGAGGGTAGTGTTGCAGAAACTGAAACAGGTCCTGTTCGATGTACTCGAATACCAAAGTCAGCTGCATCAGTCTCCTGTGATCCTCGTCGTCGTACATGAACAAATCAATCAACCTTCAAAATAGAGCATGGTAAATATAGTTGCTTGTACAGCTCACCAACCCAAACAAATGCTTAGCCAGTTTATATCTCTTAAATCGGGGGGGGGGGGGGGGGGGGGGGGGGGGGGGGGGGATCAGGTACCAAGTGCCGGACATCACGTCGACTAAGTGTAGTTTTGGATATTTTTCACTAGACCCACCCACCCCCTTTGCGGTACTAACTGTTTTTTTGGATAATACGTAAGACACCCACCCCTTTTGCCGCCTTTTGCGGTACTAACTGTCGAAAAATCGTGGTACTAACTGTTTTTTGGTGTATAGAATAAGATACCCACCCATAAATTGCTTTAAACAGCTCATTAAACATTGGAAATGGAAAAATTATACCCACTAATATTTAGTAGGGGTTTGTTTTCAATGTAGTCGAATTAGATAAAAAGTTACCCAAAAAATTTTAAAATTACAAAAAACCCAAAAAAAACTCAAAAAAACCTCAAAACCCATTCCCAAAATTGAAATTTGAGGTAAAATTATTTTTTTGGGGTTGGACACCCAAAAAATGAACCCCTTAGTACCATGTACTAACTGTTTTTCTGGAAAATGGGCAGTAGACCCACCAGTTAGTACCATGTACTAACTGTGTTTTTGGGAGAAAAAATGACCCACCCACCAACGTCATGTCCGGTACTAAGTGTATGATCCCCCCCCCCCCCGCTTAAATGTAGTTTTGCAAGAGTTATTGATGAGAGTTCAGACTAGATTGGCTGACATTTCGAATGCTGCCTATTTTAAAGAGTTCTGTTGTTTCTAGATTGAATTCAGTGGAACAGCCGAATAAGGAAAGCTACAAAGAATATCCTAAATAATTGGTATCTGTAACTCTAACCGGATGATGTTGGGATGTTTGAATTTGTCAGTTTGTCTAAGAACAGATATCTCCCTGAGAAACTCTCTGGGAATTCCATGGTATGTCTGCTGGATTCTTGCTTGTTTTACTGCGACAATCTAAGAATAGTTTTGCGTTAAGCTAAGTAAGTCTAGACGAATAATTAATGCTTGATCTAATATTTTAATTACACTGCACATTTTTTATGGTTTGTTGAAAATGAAGAATGGAACAGGAAGTCATGTTTCAAAGGTTCTGGATTGTATTGATCCCAATAAATATAGCAGTAGTCAACAGTTCAAATAGTGCGTGAATCATGCAATTTGAGTCAAAAATTAAAGACAAGATTTAATGAGTTTACTTCTTGGGTAGGCTCGTGAAGTGCTCTGTAAACAACACCAAATGTACCACAGCCAATCTTCTCTAGCAACTTATAGTTGTCCATCCCATGCCCCCTTAACTGTGTAGGTAAGGTTAGATTCAGCTGCCAAGTTGCGTTATTCTAATATTGGGAGGATAAAGTCAATTTGAGATAACTTGTTTACCCATCTTCGTCAAATTAAAATTGAAAAAGAACAATTATAACTCTGAAACAGTTACAGCTTTTTATTGAAGCTGGAAAAAATTAGAAATTAAACTCGTCACACGATCTTCAAATATTGCATTGCCATTTTCAATTATTTCATTGCTGTCATAAACATGAACCAAGAGTAATATATAGGAAAACAATTTCAAATATTAGATTTGTTTGGAGAGGCGAATCATACACAGTTTAGGCTCTTGAAATCTTCGATATAAAAATCATCTTGAGAGAACCTCCTGAATAGAATTAAGTTAGGCTCAAATTTAGGCGAAACAAAACAGTCTTAAAAACAAGAATCCCAAAAATTTCGTATGAATGGAAAAAATCTTTTATTATAAACAAATTAAAAGAGACACCAATCAATAACAAAAACATAAATACTGACAAAAATAAAGAAAGACTAATAAATTACACAACACAAATATCTAAACTTATCATCTTATAACTTTAATTCTATTTATCCCCAAAATATTAGTTCTGAACATAGAAATTAAACGGTGCTCTTCTCTATCAAGTTCCATTGCTGGACATTTCTTGACAAACGCAACTTTAAAATTGATAAGACTCATGGATTGAGTATAAGACTTATCAGCATCAAATTTAAATTTTAAATTTGCTCCTGTGCCCATTAAAACGTTGTCTCACTTCAGTGGTTTTCTGACCAAAATATGTGCTCTCTCCTAAATTACTATCTGTACAAATACTACACTGGGCAACATATATCACAATTTCAAATATTGTTGACGAAAAAATTAACACAACAGATATCTAAATATATCAACTAAATCTTTGATTTTATCCAATACATTTCTTGTACGATAAAAACGTTCTAGTTGAAATGTTTTACCGCTCATGGGAAACATAATCACTGTGCACTTCACTCGTGCTCTTGACATTGCTAAGTACAAATTCCTCAAGTCACACAGTTTGTCTACCATACCACGGTCCTCAGGTCTTATAAAATCTAATTCCAACATATCACGCACAGACTTCATTTCATGATCCTTTAATAAGTGTAAAATGATAACTGCTGGCCACTCTTTTGAATAGGTTGCTGTTAATGAACAAAATCTTGTATCTTTTGGAAGACCTCCTTTAACGATATCGTCAACTAAACATGACATGTCTTTATTTGACTCAGTATATATCAAACCGATATCAGTAACATCAATGAAATTATCCTGGCATAATTTGCTCAATTCTTGATCAAAAATCACTCGAACTAAGTCTTGATTAAAGTTCTCCAAAACGTGTATGGCAGATTTTGGACCATGTATATAATGCCCAGGAGTTTGCACAGGAACAATGATGTCTAGTTCTACATCATCAGACTTTAAGCGTAATTTCTCCTCTTCAATGTTCACATTTCTAATCACGGATAGGACTAATGATAAATCAAAACTGTTCCTCAAGATCTTCATCAAATTTACTTGTTGGCTTGAAGAAAAGGTCTTCCTCAGTGATGTCTTTAAATCTATATAGGGGGGGGGGTGTCATGTCCGTCTATGTCCGCCTATGTCCTGTCCTTTTTGGATTCTATGAGACAACGGACGTGTTTTTTGGGACATTGGCGGACACGGACGGACATTGGCGGACTTGGACGGACATTGGCGGACTCGGACGGACATTGGCGGACTCGGACGGACATTGGCGGACCCGGACGGACATTGGCGGACTTGGATGGACATTGGTGGACATTAGCGGACATTGGTGGACATTAGCGGACAAACATTTTGAGGACTGAAGAGTACTGAAGAGTACTGAAGAGTACTGAGGAGGATGGCTGAGAAGGATGGCTGAGGAGGATGGCTGAGGAGGATGACTGAGGAGGATGACTGAGGAGGATGACTGAGAGGGAGGAGAAGGATCAGGAAGACCCAGGAGGAGGAGAAGGAGGAGGACCCAGAAGGAGGACCTAGGAGGAGGAGGATGACTCAGGAGGAGGAGGACTCAGGAGGAGGACTGAGAAGGAGGAGGACTGAGGAGGATGGCTGAGGAGGATGGCTGAGGAGGATGACTGAGAGGGAGGAGGAGGAGGAAGAGGAGGAAGAGGACTGAGGAGGAGGAGGAGAAGGACTGAGGAGGAGAAGGAGGACCCAGGAGGAGGAGGACCCAGGAGGAGGACCCAGGAAAAGGCCCCAGGAGGAGGAGGAGGACTGGGGAGGAGGAGAACTGTTGAGGACTGATGAGGAGGACTGAGGACGAGGAGGAAGAGTAGGAGGAGGACTGAGGAGGGGAGGAGGAAGAGGACTGGGGAGGATCAGGAAGACCCAGGAGGACCCAGGTCCCCAGGAGGAGGAGGAGGAGGAGGACCCAGGAGGAGGAGGAGGACTGAGGAAGACTGAGGAGGACTGACGATGACTGAGAAGGAGGACTGGGGAGGATGGCTGAGGAGGATGACTGAGGAGGATGACTGAGGAGGATGACTGAGAGGGAGGAGGAGGAGGACTCAGGAGGAGGACTCAGAAGGAAGAGGAGGAGGACTCAGGAAGAGGACTTAGGAGAAATGAGAAGGAGGACTGAGGAGAACTGAGGAGGAGGAGGAGGAGGAGGACTGAATAGGAGGAGGAGAAGGAGGGGGACTGGGAGAGGACTGGGGAGGAGGAGGACTGATGAGAAGGATGAGGAGGAGGACCCAGGAGGAGGAGGACTGAGGACCGAGGAGGAAGAGGAGGAGGATGAAGAGGAGGAGGAGGACCCAGGAAGAGGAGGACTGAGGAGGAGGACTGAGGAGGATCGAGGAGGACTGAGGAGGATGGCTGAGGAGGATGACTGAGAGGGAAGAGGAGGAGGAGGACTGAGGAGGACTGAGAAGGAGGAGGAGGAGGAGGAGGACTGAATAGGAGGAGGAGGAGGGGGACTGGGGGAGGACTGAGGAGGAGGATGGAGGACTGAGGAGAAGGATGAGGAGGAGGACTGAGGAGGACTGAAGACTGAGGAGGAAGAGGAGGAGGATGAAGAGGAGGAGGAGGACCCAGGAGGAGGACCCAGGAGGAGGACTCAGTAGGAGGAGGACTGGGGAGGAGGAGGACTGTTGAGGACTGATGAGGAGGACTGAGGACGAGGAGGAGGAGTAGGAGGAGGACTGAGGAGGGGAGGAGGAAGAGGACTGAGGAAGATCAGGAAGACCCAGGGGGAGGAGGAGGAAGAGTAGGAGGAGGAAGCATCTAAATGTTATTTCCATTTTTGTCCGTTTTTGTCCATTTTTGTCCGTTTTTGTCCGCTCTATTTGTTGTCCGTTTTGAAAATATAGGGTACCGAACGGACAAAAAACATGATCCCCCTATAACAGCAAAAATTGAACATTTTATTTAGCAATTTAGGTGTCCATTAATGTCCACCTATGTCCGCCTATGTCCGCCTATGTCCGTCTATGTCCGCATATGTCCGCCTATGTCCGCCTATGTCCGTCTATGTCCGCCTATGTCCGCCTATGTCCTGTCCTTTTTGGATTCTATGAGACAAGCGGACATAGACGGACGTGACACCCCCCCCCCCCCCCCTATATATAAATTATCAAAATGCGCCCGATGCATGACGCCCTGGGTAAGATCACATGCAACACAGATATAGTGAGTTGCTGATAACTCCAACAATTTAGCCAAAAATCCAGTTAAATCCAATTCTTTAAGTGGCTCTGACCAATCCCAATCATGCAAGCATTGTATGTCGTCAACAAACAGGTTGACTCCTTGCAATGACATAAGAATCTTTGGAATCATGATGTCTGATTTTCCTAAGAAAACTGAGTGTTTTCGCACTGCAATTACTACCTGACTATCGAGATGGCAGCGAATTATTTCACTGCATATGGTATTGACTGGCGTATCAGGGTTATCAATTGCTATTATCTGATATTCTATACAAGCATTTTGTAATATTTTTTCATATTGGGCTGTTGATTTGTCTGCTCCTACAAGGTCAAACAGTACAATTTTGTTCAGTGTACTTGCCAGCGCTAGTTGTATTAATTTTGCCAGCAGTACAACAGTTTTACCTGTCCCTGCAGGTCCATTAATCCAAAGCAGCGCTTCAGGCGAATTTATCAGTTCAAACTGTTCTTTGGTCAAATTGTCAATTCCCAAGAACTCCTTCACAATATCTGGTGTCTGTATTACCTCTGGATTATTCTGTCTATATGAAAATCTTCCAGAACGCAATTGTTCATCAATGCTTCTAATACACGAGCCCAAACTGCACTTAGACATATCACAGCCGTTTTTATTGGTACACCACAGAGCTAGTAAGAAATTCCTTAACTCCTCATGCTTTTTTTGTGACTCCAAATCCAATGGCTTATTCAAAACTACTCTAGCAACGTTCTCTCTCCACCAATTAGGAAAATCATCAAGATTTTCTTTCAGAATAATAGTTGATAGAAATTCTTCTTTCAGTTCAAATTCATTCCTAAATCTCATTTCCAAGTTAGGGTAAGCAGTAAACTGATGAACATTAATGTGTGTGCTGAACCGTTTAATCAAATCCACCATCCGTCTTCGCTGTTGAAGCGATTTCTCAAGTGATTTAATCAGTCCTTGCAAGTAACAGACATTTTCTGATTCAGGGCCAGGTTCTGATTTATCTCCAACATGACTCACATTCTTAACCTCTATTATGACAATGTAATTTGAACCAATTACAATAAAATCACATTCGCCTTCTGTACTGGCTGCCATCTTTTTACACTTTATATACTGTCTTTTATCATGGCTTGAATCACCCAAATAATATTGGTAATGAGTATATTCAGCACTATGGATAACAATAAGATTTTCATTGAGATTTTCTAACGCCCTGAAAACTTTCACCTCAGCCTCATAGTTTGTTTGATGAAACCTATCACCTTGAAAGCTTTGTCCTGGACCATCTTGATCCGGGTAAAGATCAATGTACTTTTGTTGTGGAGCTTTGGGTAACAT